TAAATGAGGTACAAAGAGATTAGCTCACTTGCAGAATGAGACACATCTAATAAGTGAATGAGCCTTGATTTAATGTAGATAGTCTGGCTACCTAAGCATTCTACATGTACAATGATCTTTCTACTAACTGCAAAACTGAGCCTCCACCTGACAAAAGGAAACCTGAAATCCCACTTCTTATCATATTTTCCAGGTGGTTCTTGCAGAGCCAACGTCGGGATGTCTGTACCAATGTCCACTGAACCTGCGCCATTGACCATCACTGTCCTGAACAACGGGAAGCCTGGTCCTTGCGTTCGTCTTTTTTACCCATCACCCAGCACAGGCAGGCCTTCAGTAAATATTTGTAGTTTATGGAGTTGATGAATCAGTAATGGCACTGATTGGTTCAGATGTTTAGGTAGCGGAAGTTTACCTGAAGCTATTCTCTGAAGGAGTGACAGGAAAGGGGTTTGAAAACTCCTTCACCACCCATATAATTTCCTGTGGAATACCATAAAGAAAGATAACTTTCCGTGTTTTTTCTTTTTCTTCTTTCTAATTTTATTCTAAACGTTCTGGAATGATCTCATTGTCACCATATCACTCAGCACAAGAAAGCCTAAGAGCTCTCATGATTGTTTTGTTTTGTTTTGTTTTTCTTTAGACTGTACTATGCTTATTGACTTGTAGACTAGCTAGATTTCCATAGGTAATCTTTTGCAAGAGTTACATTTGCATGTCATCCACATAGGGATCCATTTAGAATCATCATGAATCAATTTGCTAGAGCTTACATTTTTGAGACTTTGGAATTATATCCTAAGGAAAACAGAAAACACATTCTCTCCTGCTGTATGAAATATGCAGGAGACTACTTTGGGTTACAATGCTCTTTTGCATTAGCACAGATGCTGAAAAGCAAATTCTCAGCTGGTCCGTCTCACTCAGAAGGTGTGCTACACTAATAACCGTGTATGGGGGAGCATTGCCGACTCACAATATAACAAGTTAAACTGCGTGTTGTATTAGCATTATTCTTAATGCTAATGTAATGTCTATCCACGAAGGCAGCATTGTTAGATTGTTAGTACTGTAGATTGTAATGACAAAAGGAATTAGATGGGTTTTCTATGTTAAATCAATCATTAAGCAGTGCTATAATTATTTGCTGTTGGGAACGCTCTTTTTTCTATTGTAAAATTGACACAGTCTATGAACGTAATTGCTGTGTTTTCATCCTAGGGCCCTTTAAGATTAGAGTCTGAGAGGAAGATGTGGCACTTCTAATCCTTCTGACATTTCAGAGGGACTCTCCTGGCAGGAATAATATCACATCACCGCGTAATTAATCAGTGCATTTTCCCGTGGTCTGCGAAGCCCGTGTTTCCCTCTGCATTTGAGAGACAGAGAGGTGGCATGTACGAACCTTCTGCAGCTTTAATTACAACGTGATGTTGGGTCCAATTATGTTCTTGGGCAGTTTGACCTTTTAGGGTTGCATATTCAGACCATTTCACTGATTCTGGGGTGGAAAATTTTAGGCATCAATGTATGTGAGTTTGAGATCATTGGATAACTGTTTTCCTCACTTTCCTCTGAATAAAAAATGTGTTATAGAGTGTAAGCTGGTAATGATGACATTAAATTAAAGAAGAAAAACCTTTATTAGCTGAAATGGCATCCCTTCATCTTACGGACGATAAGGCCAGCACAGCAGGAACCTTTGTTAAGGCATAATCTCTCTGTCTCTCTCTCTCTCTCTCTCATGTCTATCTTTCTCTGTCTCTCTCTCTCTCTCTCTCTGAAATAAAAGTAAAGAAACTATGTAGCTATGTTTGGAAGTGAAAGAAAATAATTTATGGTTGCTCTGTGGACAGTTTACCTAACTGACTCTTTCAGCATGTGACAGGATTAATTAAGCACCTGAGACAGGTGCACAGAACTATTTGTGATTTCAGCTCTGCGTGGAATTATCATTAATATTAACATCATTAAAAACGGGAGGGGGCTTTTACTTGCAGGGCAATAGAGTAGGTGCTGTGGAAAATACGTGAGAGGAAGGAACAATTTCTGCTCTATTCCTCTCCCCTGCCAACTCCCCAAGAAAAGTTCATAGGGACACATAGCTAGAGTAGAGGTGAAAGTGTGATAGGGTCAGAGTAGTTGTACAAATATGAATTCAGAGTACGACCAAACAGCATTGTGTGCGGTACTCAGAGATGGTTTCATGGGAGGAGTGAGATCTTTATCTGAACCTTATTCTGTAGAAAATAGGGAACTAATGGAAATTTTTAAGCAGAGGCATATTATGTTAGAAGTAGTTATTTAGTGAGTTATCTTGGAGTTGTTGAGTTTGAGTACCAGGGTGTAGAAGGGAGAACAAAAAGAAACTCTGGAAGGCTGCCTTCTTAGTAGTATGGGGTTAAGGGTTCCTTTGGCCCATGGGACTTGCTGATTCTAAAATTGTAAAACTTAGTACTGATTGAGAACAGAGGATGAGCACTCTAGGCAGATGCAGGAAGCACTCTGAGTACCTGTCATTAGAGAACTATTCAAAACAGTACACTACACATGGTTTACATGTGTGAACTATGCATGATTGGTATGTGTAAATATTGTGTTAGATACTATGAGAACTTTTTTTTTTTTTAAAGATTTTTTTTATTCTTTTACTTTTTCTCCCCAAAGCCCCCTGGTACATAGTTGTATATTCTTTGTTGTGAGTCCTTCTAGTTGTGGCATGTGGGACGCTGCCTCAGCGTGGTTTGATGAGCAGTGCCATGTCCGCGCCCAGGATTCGAACCAATGAAACACTGGGCCGTCTGCAGCGGAGTGCGCGAACTTAACCACTCGGCCACGGGGCCAGCCCCTATGAGAACTTTTATGTATTTTATTTAATTTTATTATCACGACTCTGTGGAGTGGTTGATATTAGCTCCATTTTATAGATATGGATAAGGAGATCCAGTGGCTCAAGTTAAAGAAACCAAAGAAAACCAAACCAAACTAACATGGCAGAGATGGCACTCAAACTCAGGCATTGTGATTCCATGAATCATATTCTTCCCATTCACAATGTCCAACTTCCAAGTCAGGAAAGGTAAATTTACCAAGCCTGTATATGCAAATGTGAAACTTTTTGTTGTTAGTTATTTTTCAAATCTGTGCGAATGAGATAGATTGGAAAGCAAAAAGACGGGCTTAATTGCAGTTTGCAGGGTGAAAACGCACTGCAACTGCAAAGGATTCTTGTCTGCGACAGGTGCTGCTTAACGATTCATCATCTATTAAGGCAAGGTCGTGGAAAAATACAATAAGGCTGTGATTTTCAAGAATCATAATTCAATTTTTCAAGGAAACAGAATGGATAGCATGGAGGCTATGAGAAATTCAGAAAATATTTATGACTCTTTATTTGGTTGACTTTTATTTATTTGGTTGTTTTTCATTTTGCTGTCCCCTCCCTTAACCTTCTCACGGTGAGGGATTTCCAGTGTATATATATTCATGTGCACACCAGAGGCGGCCTGACTTGCCTTCTGGAGAGCAGGTCTTTGATGTCCTTGCATTATGTCTGTCTATCCTTAACTCTCTTCTCTTTTAGGTCCTTACTTACCTCGGCTTCACTGTTCACCTCATACCTAAGCCTGCCAATCATCCCATCTGCCGTCTCAGCTCCACCCAGGTCAAGAATCAGGAGCCTCAGGGCCACTCACTGAGTGGTCTTCAAGACAGAAACGTCATCACTGTAACGTCAACCTGGGAATTAGTAGACAAGGATCTAATCCCTGAACTCCCATATTATTCTTCAGGTCCAGTTAAACCTTACCCTGCAGTGTCCTGGATCTCAGAATAGAAATCCTGACACTAAGCACCCAAGTTTGATGCGCTCTGGGGTCTTCATGTTAGGACTGAACTTCTGCTTCAACTCATGTCTGGGGATCTTATTTCAGTAAAAGATTGTACTCTTCATTATTTCCAAATCCTTTTCCTGGGGACTGAAAAATTTCTCAGAAACCCCACACTGACACAATAGATAGGATACTGCAGGGGCCGGCCCGGTGGCGCAGCGGTTTAGTTCGCATGTTCCGCTTCTCAGCGGCCTGGGGTTCGCTGGTTCTGATCCCGGGTGCGGACATGGAACTGCTTGGCATGCCATGCTGTGGTAGGCGTCCCACATATAAAGTAGAGGAAGATGGGCACGATGTTAGCTCAGGGCCAGGCTTCCTCAGAAAAAAGAGGAGGACTGGCAGTAGTTAGCTCAGGGCTAATCTTCCTCAAAAAAAAAAGGATACTGCATACCCATGTGAATTCCCATGAAATGCCTGCAACAGGCTCAGGTATTGACCCTCAGATTCCTTCTGGTTTTACCGAGGGGGCCACCAAGTGAAAAAAGTAAGATGTGTGTATGTATGTATATATATACATATACTTTTATATTATCTATCTATCTATCTATATATGTGATTTCAAATTTCATACAATAAAACCCCAGGCCACAATTTTATCAAAACAATTACAAAAAAATACCCATTGACTAGAATGGAATCATTGCCTCTGGTGGGGTCAAGAATGGGTAATGATGGCAAAAACAGTCGATCAATCAAGAGACAGCTCTTGCAGCGCAGTGATCATAATATGCCCTTATCTGACTAGTATGGCCGAGCGGAGCCTCTGACATCTGAAACAGCATAAGAGAAAAAAAAAATGGATGGTGGTGGTTTATTACTGTATTTTCTTCTAAATTTCAATTTACCTTTCAATTCTAATTCACCATTTAAAGCAGGTAAATTCATTCTGCAAATATAATCAAGGGATGTTCATATTGCATTAATAGATTGCTTTAGTTTTGTACTTCTCACAACTTAATTATTTAGAGCCCAATTCCCTTATTCAACATTAGCATATTAAGGCAAAATCTAATTTGCAGTAAGCAGCTTGAGGCCACAGAACCACAAAAAAAAGTAAATGGAGGCAAGTGAATATGTTGAATTTTTTATTTCATCAATGCATCCAGTAGCTGATGGATATAGTCTTCACTTGCATCTTTGAGTATTTTAGTTCAGTAAAATAATGTGGATATTTGGGCAGGTTTGCTTACATTTTAGGAATCTTTATTAGTTTCCCTTCTGAATAGGGGACGGTCTGTCATTGGACTAAAAGTAAATAAGAAAGGAAGAGAAAAATGAGAAAGCAAATCAGACAAGTGCAATAGTGAGGAAAATGTTGTCCTGTAGAAGATGATTGGTAAATATTTAATCAATTACACTTTTGGCCATTTCTTATCTATCAGCATTGAACGTGTCTGACCCATTCGTCACACCCTCCCTGCCCAAGCTGCTGTATGGTCTACCTCAGAATGTATTCCAAGACCAGATGAGAACTGTTGAATTAAGTAAAAGGTAAATTAATACAAATTAGAAAATATTCCTATAGAACACCTATTGTGGGTTCAGTCATTTGCCAGGCACTATAGTTGATAATAATTGGAAGAGAAATGTCAACTGGTCCCTCCCCTCAGGGTTCTTGGGGTTTAGATAAGCACTACCTTTCACACATTAAGCAGTCGTACAACAATGTGTCAGTATGAAGTTGAGAACTGAATTGTGTCTCTACACAAAATTCTGGAATTGCCAGAGGACTTAGAGATAAAAGAGGTCAGGAAGGTAACATTAAGGGAAAGTTTGCTCTCCACTGCTAAGTAAGTAGAGAGTATGGGTAACGCCATGGCTAGGAAGAATGGAATAACCCTTGTAGTTAGATTTAAAGGGAGGAGTATGGACGAGAAATCAGCTTGAAACTGTCTCAAACACTTTATGAAGCCAGATGAGTTTAGCCATTAAAAAGATAACGCCCGTCTATAATGATTGTCTCCTCTTAAAATGAGATCTGAATTCTGGTTTGAAGCTCCAGTGATGTGTAATTCAGTGGAAGCTGCCTTCAGCAATTTGCAAAGAACTGTCTGAGGATACAGCGTTGTTATTCCTTAATGATAACATTTGTCTTTAAGGAGAAGAAATGAGTCATGGTCAAATTTCACAAGTTCATGCATTAGATTGATTGAATCATCCACTACGTCCAGTTTCTAGCTTCCTCTAACTCAGTTTAATTGACAAAGAAATCCAGATTTTGAGTGACCCTAAAACAGATCATTAAAGAGGAGGCTGGGAGAGACTTGAAAGAAGCTTTTATATTCCTATTACAGGAAACTTTACAATCAGCGAGTACACGTCTAGATAAGCCTATTACACGTTTAAAAAAGTGGCCATAGTACCTCTAGCAAATACTTCACTGAATTCGCAAAACACATCTCTATCTGGCTTTGAAAGCATATACTCTTTCATAGGCTTCACTGTGGAACACCGGAAACAGTAATAGCTTTGGAGACAGACAGCCATTGCTTTAAATCTCTACTCTCTTCTTCATCATTTGTTATCTGTGTAACCTTGGACATATCTATCCAATTCTCTGAGTTTCAGTATACTTATCTGTTACAGGGTTGCCATGTTTATTAAATGCAGTAGTATCCTTCACTGTTCACAAGACCTCAAATAGAGTAACCACTCAACAAACATTAGTTACTATTACTATTGTTATTATGGTTATTATAATTGTTACTTTTATCAGACTCTGTTGGCATTACAGTTTTCTTCTTTGAAGGCAAAACCCGATGTTTCTGGAGAGTCCAACCCTCCCCAGTGTGACTCATAAATCCTGACAATTTAAGCAATTTGTAGTAGTCCCAGTGACTTTGCCAGAGACTAATTTAGCATTTCCTCTGGGCAATTATGAAGTGAGAGAGGTCTACTGGGGTGCTTCTTTGAAAGGCTCTTTTACTCCTACAAGGGAACACAAGGAAGAAACAATCCTTCTTCTCTTGCATGCTGTATTCCTGTTTATGACACCAGACAGAAATAGCCATGTGTTGCAATGAAACACTGGACAAACACAAAGGCAGCATACAGAGAAAGAAACATATGAAAAAACAGAAATATGTCAAAGAAACAAGTCAAAGACAGAAGCAACCCAATTCACATGTCAACATAGAGCCACAGAATTAATCTAGTAATAGAACTAAGTACTTACTGTTGTTGAGAAACTTAATTTTCTTTATTTTAAATGCTTATTTAAAGCTTATTTTCTGTTTCCTGAACCCTTAAGCATCCTAAATCTTACTTTATTGAATATTTTTTTTTCTCCTGGCCCCATTCCTTCCACTAGTATGGACACACACACTAGAAATACATAAACATACATATATATGAAAGAACAAGGTAGACATACAGGAAGGCCAGTCCCATGTCTGACCTTATTGAATGGTCATCCTATTGAATACAAATTCAATTTTATTTTATTTGGCTCTCATTGACTAAGAGCCATTGATTAAGGTGGTCTTTTATCTCAACTGACTTATGATCAAGCACAGAGGATAAGCACATAAACAACTATCATCCAATACTGGGTGTAGTAGGCATCTTAGGTTGAGAAGGTAGAGAGTGTAAGTTGGTCCATGATCTTTGACAGTGGGAGCATCCATTTGTATTACAAATAATGTGCATTGATGCTCCATTTATTTGGTATTATAAATAGTATCTTTAGTCTAATAGAAATGCTGCCCCTCCTTAGAGACAGTCACCAACATTTAATTCTTATTTCCTCTTGGATGTTCATTTTTTCCCTCATGCCCATTTAATATTTATCAAGTCCAGAACAGAAATACTGGCTCTTACTGCCAAACATTCTTCCTTCATCTATTGTTTATGGGATATACTGAGTTTTGAGATTCAAAAACCTCTTCTTTCTACTTTGAGTTTTGAAAAATATTTTTTTAAAATTAAAAAGGTGAGATTTGACTTTTTGTCCTTTGTTGTTCTACTGTGACCTCCTATCCCTAAGACAGAAAACTCTGACTCTCCTGGATACTGCACAAAATGGAAGAGGGGTGGAGAAGGATTATGAGGACAAAAGTAATTTCATGGAATAAGAAACACATAAGATGATACAAAAATACCATCTCTTTACACATGAAAAAGCAATGCAAAATACGAACTAGTGACAGAGGCAAGCTTCCTGGGGGAATTGTGTTGAAGAAAGACTGGTAGAGACTGGTAGAGAAGAAGACAGAGGATATTCTTGGAAGAATGGGCAAAGGCACAGAGACGGGTGAATTTACTGTAACAATCTGAGAAGAGTCAGTGATGAACAAGCTCATTTGGGGCAACTTTTTCCAAGTTAACTGCTGAGTGAAATATAAACTTGCTGTGTCTTCTTTTCATTGAACGATTCATTCAGGTAAAAATATTGGGAAGTCAACATGGCAGGGACTGAGCTAGATTCTACTGTACAAACAAGAATCAGGTGAAACTATCCCAAAGACCCAGAATGTCCTAACTGAATCAAGTTGAGAGGTTGGGAATGAATGATAGGATTGGAATGGCATAGAGAGCATCTAAGAAGGTGGGTGTCTGGCTGAGAGACTTTGAATTGAACCAATAATTGATCTGTCGACTAATGTAAGTACATACATGAGTCATATTTCTCAGGTCCATCTTGTCCATTGTCTTAGCCAACTTTTCAGGGTTTTTGAATGGAGTTGTTTTTTCCTCAGCTTTTTTCACTTCAAGATAGAGATTCCCTGAGAACACGTTCCAGTTCTCTCTCCCAGGCTGCCACAGCTCTTTAAGCAGACGTTTGAAGAACTGTCAGAATCAAGGGACGGAGAGCGGAAAGGGCAGACAAGGGAGGCAGAAGGCAGTGCAAAAAAATGGGAAGTGCTGCAGGAGCTGGCCATTGTGCCAATTTCATGCTTTCACACCTTTGAATGAGTGTTCAAAGTGTTTCATTTTGGGAGCCTCAGACAGTGGAGCACTGATTGCAATGGCTTCAGGCATTTCAGGGCACAGCTGGCCACTCGGCCACCCCTGTGTCCATGGCAGTTTTCTAAAAATAAGGGAAATAAAATATAGGTTATTTTCAGCTCTGATGGGTGAACCTCACTGTGAACAACTGCAGGATCAGTGTTGGTTTTTTTTTTTTTTCCTTTTCTTATTTCAAACACAGCCCAAGCCACATCATCTTTGAGGAATGTGATCCTTCTTTCACCTAGTAGGGAAGAAACAGCAAAAAAGAGAGATACCGTTTAAGATAAATAATAAATTCTGATCCTGGGTTACCCCAGTCGTCTAGCCAGTACCAAATCCTGTCTTTAAGAAAGAAGGAAAAAACAGCTGGAAGGTGCAGACAAACATTTTAAAAATTGCTAAAACATGAAAATAAACAAAAAAATGTTTTTAAAGAAGTGGTTTTATATGAAATTATTATTTATTAAATGTAATTCAATTTTTATTCAACCTATTGAAATGTTTGGGCACATTGCCTTTTGGAATAATGAAAGTGGTAGTGTCCCCAAGCAGTTTCTTTTTCCAGTCTCCATTTGAGAGCCAGGTGTCAGAAGACCTGAGTGCTACACCTACTTCTGCTGCTTATTTGTTTGTGAACACTTGGCAAGTCACTTAATTTCTATAGGACCACAATTTCTTCATCAGTACAGTGTGAATTAAAATATCTTTTATTTAATAAGACAAAGTCATAGAATTAGTTAAAAGTTGAAGAATTTTAGAGGTCACTCAATTAATTTTATTTTACAGATGAGAAAGTTACCGGGTCAGACAATTGGTTGGTGGAATATTTTTAATGACCATCCAGCTGTCCTAATTAGTGCCATGTATTTTATACATTATTATTATCATTTTTGCTTCATGCAAATCTTTCATTCTTATAAGTCTAGTCCATTCATCCCCACCCCAACCATCAATATCACAGCCTTACTAATACATTTCCCCACAGTTGGCCACATTTTTGGAAATCCCTCATATATCTCAATAATGTCTACCTAGCTTCATGACCAAACTAAGGATATGCTCGTCTCTGCAGCCTTCCCTGATTGCCCTTGCAAACACAGGATCTTCTCCTTCATGAACTGCACAGCACCTACCAGCTCTGTAACTTAAGTTATCCATCTACAAATCAATGAATAACACATGCAGCAGCCTCGGCATGGCGGAGGACCCTGACTCGCAGCTACTTCTTTGTGTTCTTAGCAGCTAGAACTGTGTCTTGAGCCATAATTTCTGTATGTGCAAAAGGGGAATAATAATAGTAGCTAAATCATGAAACTTTCGTCAAGATTAAATTTTACATATACATATCCTCTTAGAGCAGTGCCTGATACATCGTAAGCTCCATATTAATCTTGTTAATTATTATATTATTTGTCATTGTTGATGAGATAACGATGATGCTTTGGAAAGTTGAAAAATTGTCTTCCGGAGGAGTGCTGACCTAATAGGGACATGTTGGAAAGTAAAGAAATAATTAAGCCAAGTGCTTATTTATCCTTCTTTAAAGAGAATTCTGTTTCCTAATTCCCTGAATGTTTGAGATTGCCTGAATTTCTGAGAGCCAAATTGAAAATACAATAGGATACATATTTCTAGAGCAATTAAGCTTTCACTGATTTGCCTTAGGGTTCTGATTTTATGCTTTGATTCATAGGTAATGAGAGTTGAAGATCAGTGACGTGTCTGGATCTTTTTTAAAGTACTTGATCCCCATAAATTTTAAAGACTTCTACATGTATAGAGATAGGGGGAACACAGGCTTCTTTTTTCATCTGAGGAGACATTGGTACCAGAAATATCTTTCCTTACAACTAGATTTTCTGGAAACTTTAAACACTAGATTAACAGCCACAAGACAAGTATCTTGCTATGACGGGGTATATACTAAATGAGAGGCAACATAAAAAGTACTCTCAAGTGGGACTCAGAATATCAACGTTTTGTTACAGCTCTACTTCTGAGTGACAGACAAACTATTTCTCCTTCTGAACTTAAGTTTCCTCATCTGCAATCTTCTGGAGTCCAACGTGACAATTTCTTTTAAGTTTAAAATTCTGAAAATACGGCATCTTTGGATGGAATTTAATAGACCAGTTTCAGACCCCATTAACACCAGCGCTGTGCTGCTTAATACCATAGGTTCTTCCGGTAATGAGCCACTGTCTTTACAGCATCAACCCTATGCTTAGAGTTATAAGTTTTGGGATATCAGATTTTACAGAAAACAAGAAGAGATGCATCATCTTACTGCCTTTGTTTTATATCTCTGGAGGATGACAATGTAATCTTTCATGCCTAGCACCAGTTAAACAATTAATTCATCAAGACAATGTGACTGAGTATGTGCAGGGAGCCTAAAAATTGTTTACTGTGCATAAGAGTGACAAGAGAAGGAAATCTTTTCCCATAGAATGTCTTGTTTGATGGGCAAGACTTCAAATATAGAAAAGTATACGCAGTCCTTAACTCCCTTCTCTTTCTTTATACTGCAAGTAGATCTTATAGCCATAAGTTAGTTTAGGGTATTGGTGTAGAATAGTCTAATGTTTTTATATCATATTATAGTGGGATCATTTAATGAACTGGTCTATTAATACACGGTGAACATATTTTGGCATTCTTTGGAAACAGCCATTGATTTCTTTATAGATATTTACTTATTATCTATTTCACTTCATCTATAACTCTCTTAAGAAAAATAATTTATCACTTTATATTTATGAGTTTATCTATACTCCCTTCCCAATATTCTATATGAACTTTAACGATATGAACTATTTCCTTTTTATATGGATGTTTTCTAAGATCTACCACAATATCTGATATATAAAGTGACCATATGTTCCAATTAGCTTAAGGCAGTATTGGTTTATACCTATGGTCCTATCATAATTATAACTAGCATCCCCTCTCACACATAAAAGAGTTCTTATTAGATGATAAATTATTTGGTCAACCTACTTATACATATATCTTCCCCATAAATATTTGTAAATGATGAATCCCCAGAAGGAGACCACCTCCCTTGACTGTGTTCTGTGTCAATATTCATTTTCTATCTTACAATGTTATCACGGACCTCCTGAGAGCAGAAGTTATATGATGAGAGCAACTGGGAGAATTACTTCAGGAATTACAAAAACGTAAAGTTTGTCATGAATTTGGAAGCCTTTTAATCTTGTGTTCAAAGCAGGGATTCTTCTACAGGATCCTCAAAGGTGCCTTATATCCTTAGTTTCTTTACAAGTTTATCACACTTATTTGTGTCTTCCAGGCTTTGTCCTAAGTGCTGAAATGCAGCAGAGACTAGCACAGATATGTTGCTTACATTCATGAAGCTGGAACTTAGTGGAGAAGGCAGACAGTATACAAAAACATCAAACACATAAACATATAATAGAATTATGATTCTTGCTAGGAAAGTATTAAGATGCTGTAAGATCAAATATCAAGGTCCTAATGTAAATGGAAATATCAAGGGGTCAGTGCTGGCCTCTCAGGGGAGGTAGCATTGATGTTTGGATTTCAATGATCAATAGGACAAGGTTTGCAAAGAGTGTGGAGGAAGAGGGTTCCTGGATGAAGAAATAGCCTAGAGTGAAGTTCTGAATAGGAGAAGAGCATTGAGATTTTAAGAAACTGAAGGATAGCTAACAAAACTTAGTGGAAGCTAGTGATGGAGATGAGGGTTGGTGCCAAGTGATATTAGAGTGTAAGGACAAAACCAAACCATGTCTATCTAGGGACATATGGTCACTTTATATGTCATATATCGTGGTAGAGCTTAGAGAACATATATATATAAAGGAAATAGTTTGTATTCTTAAAGTTCATATAGAATATTGGAAAGGTAGTATATATAAGCTGTTTCTTGTAGCAGCCCATTCTCAAATTTTGCCTCAATCCTGGTCACGTTAATGGGCCCAGGAACTATTCCAGGGGAACAATATCCATATTTACAGTTCACTGCCTTTCTCCATCATTAGTGTTTTCTTAACATTAAATATTTAGTCACTTGAGGGGGGACGGGGGCAGGGACTTGGGGGTAGAAAAGGAGAATGAAGAGAAAGGCCAGATTCATTATTTCAGAGAAAACCACTCCAATCCCTGGGCCTATCTACTCATCCCTTGCTTTTCTTCCTCTTTTTTTTTTAATTAAAAAGGGCATTTACATGCTAATTGGATCTTTATTCCTTGAGAGTCCCTCTGCTCTTGTAAAGTCTTCCTCTTCTGAAGCATTTAATCCCCAGCTTGAAACATCATTGTTGATTGCAGTGGAAAGACTGTGATGTCACAAATGGGGGATTATGACTTCACAGGGGAAATAAGAGAGCAAAACAGACAGTTTCAAGAGACCAAGATCTTTTATTTATGAGAATGTCTCTATTAATCAAAAGGGGAGAGAAATACCAAACACATAGAAAATGACAGCAGAATTGTAGCTAAATAAAATGTTCTTCAAAATTATCCTGGCAATGTCACTTTCTCTTTAGAGGATTCCTGAGAAATGCTATTGCAGAGGATAGGTTTAAGATTCCAAATCTCCCTCTACTCAGCGCTTAGAAATACTTAGCCCTGGGGTAATCGAAAGTATAATCAGGCCACGAAACAACTTCTGCCACATTTTGCCTACAATGTAGAGTGCAATGTTGCCATGGCCCCTTCCTGGTGTTCTTCAGTTGGGTCCCTGGAAGAGCTCTCTTCCATTCCATTTTGCCAGTGAAATCGTTTGGTTCTGAGGTATATTTTTTTTTTGAAAGATTTTAATTCCAAACAATTTTTTTAGTAGATAGAATGCATTCAAGTAATATTTTTCTCTTTGAGTGAGTTTGGGTAGTTGTGACTTTCAATGAAGTAGTCCATTTCATCTAAGCCATTGAATTTATGAACATGGAATTATTCATAGTATTCTCTTACTGTCTTTCAATGTCTAAAGGATCAGAAGTGATGTTTCTGCTTTCATCTTTGATATCGATATTATGTGTCTATGTTTTCTTGGTCATACTGGCTAAAGACTAATCAATTTTATTCTTTTCAAATGAATCACTTTAGTCTTTATTGGTTATCTCTACTGTTTTACTGTTTATAATTTCAGTTATTTCTACCCTTATCATGGTATTTCATTCTTTCTGCTTGCTTTAGCTTTAATTTGCTCTTCTTTCTTTAATTTCTTAATATGGTGGCTTAGATTACTAATTTTAGACCATTCTCTTTTCTAACGTCTGTACATAAGGCCATAGGTTTCCCGCTAAGTGAATTTTGAAGATTTTTATTTTAGTGTTTATTTAATTCAAAAGATTTAAAACATTTTCTTCTTTGATATTTCCTCTTTGTGCTATTTAGTACTATGTCATTTAATTTACAAGTATTTGGAAATTTTATGGATACATTTCTGTTATTGATGTCTAATTTAATTATATTGTGTTCTGAGAAAACACTTTGCATTATTCCTATTTTGAAAATTTTGGTCTGTCTTGGTGGATGTTCCATGGTCATGGGAGAAGAACGTGTATGCTGTTGTTGTCTGAGCATTCTATAAGTTTCGGTAAGGTAAGTCAGTTGATGGTGTTTTTGGGTAATATACATCCTTTCTGATTTCTTTGCCTATTTTTCATATCAATTAAGGAGAAAGAAATGTTGAAGTTTTCATCTGTAATTGTGGGTTTGTCTATTTCTCCTTTCAGATCTAATGCTTTCTGTCTCATGTACTTTGGAACTCTGCTGTTTGGTTCATAGACATTTAGGATTGTTATGCTCCTTGAAGAAAACATCCCTTTATGAGTACATAAATCCTTCTCTCTCTCTGATTATCTTCCTTGTCCTGAAGTCTAATTTGTCAGAATAAATGCTTATCCTATTTTTTTTGTTTTTGAATAAGAAAAATAGTTTTTATTTTCCCTTCACTTATTCCTTCTTTGCTGTCCTTTCTCATTTTATGTAGATCTGACTTTCTGACCTATGTTGTTTTCCTTCTCTCTAAAGAACTTCTTTTAGCATTTCTTGCAATGCAGGTTTACTAGTAACAAATTTCTTAGTTATTGTTTGTGTGAAAATCTATTTCTCCTTCACTTTTGAAGGATAATTTTACATGGGAGAGAATTCTAGTTCAATGGGATTTTTATCTGAACATATTCTATAACTCACACCTCTTTCTTCTTGCTTTCATGGCTTCTGGGAATTTGGATGTAATGCTTATCTTGGTTCTATAGATAAGGTGTTTACTCCCCCTCGCTTCTTTCAAGATTTTTTTATCATTGATGTTCTTTATCTTTGTAATTTGAAAATGATATGCCTAGGTATAGTTTTCTCTGGCGTTTTCCTTGCTTGGTGTTCCCTGAGCTTCTTAGATCTGTGGTTTGGTGTCTGACTTTAATTTGGGGAAATTTTCAGTCATTATTGTTTCAAATATTTGTTCTGTTCCTTTCTCTCTTTTTTCTCCTTCTGGTATTCCCATTATGTGTGTTTTAAACCTTTTGTAATTGTCCCACAGTCTTTGGATATTCTGTTCCACTTTTTTTCACTCTTTGTTCTCTTTGCTGTTCAGTTTTTGAAGATTTTATTGGTGTATCATCTTGCTCAGAGATTCTTTCCTCAGCCATGTCCAGTCTATTAATTAGTCCATCAAAGTCATTCTTTATTTCTGTTACAGTGTTTTTTCTCTAGCAGGTCTTTCTTGTTCTTCCTTAGGATTTCCATGTCTCTGCTTACATTGCTCATGTGTTCTCTCATGCTGTCTACTTTATCCATTAGAGTCTAGAGCATATTAATTCTAGTTGTTCTATATTCCCAATCTGATAATTCCAACATCTCTGCCATGTCTGGTTTTGATTCTTGCTCTGTCTCTTCAATTGCGTTTTTTTGCCTTTTAGCATTTCATAACTTTTTCTTGATAGTCGAACATGATGTATGAGGTAAAAGAGCCGCTGTCTGTAGGCTTTTAGTAATGTATTGATGAAGTGTGGGAGAAAGGGAAGCCTTCTATAGTCCTAATATTAGCTCCCAGTCTTTTAGTCAGCCTATGCCTCTGGACTGTGAACTTCACAAGTGTTTCTCAGTTTTCTACGCTCTTAGGTGGGACAAGATGTCTAGAGTGGGCTGGAGTTGGATATTTCCCTTCCATAGTTATGCTCTGTTAATACCTCAGTAGGTTAGGCTCTTGTTAACTAGTTCCCCTGAGAGGAGGACTTGTTAAGAAGGACAGAGTGCTCTAGCATATTTCAAAATGGTTCCTTTTCCTCTTGCCCTGTTGGAAGCATGAGGGGATTTTTCTCTGACATTTGCTGTAGGAACCTGGCCAAGCTCCTGGAGATAAATGTCACCATATTGCAGGGGCTCCCTATAATTTCATCCGCTGGAGTTTTTGCCTCTCAGACTTGTCCATGTTGAGCTTCCAGCAATTCTTCAACTACAGTTAAGATTTTCCTAATCACCTGGCACTGCTTCCTATAATGGTTTCCACTCCTGAGGCTCTGCTTCAGTAAGCCATGACTCTTGTATTCGCTTGTTTGTCTCTCTATCTTGGGATGAGGGCTTGCCCTGTGTCTTTTCTCTCTTAAAGATCCAAGAGAAGTGTTGATTTTTCAGTCTGTAATCTTTTTGCTTGATTGTTAGGATAGAGTGGTGACTTCTAAGCTCCTTACACGTGGAACTGGAAACCACTCTCACCCCACTGTATTTTGATTGATGTCTCCATGGTATATCTTTCTTCATGCTCTTAGATTCTCTATTTCTTTGTATTTAAGGAGGCTTTTTGTAGAAAGTATATGGATTGCTCCAGCTTTGGCTATTGGGAGCTTTTTCAACTGTCCTTTTCATATATCCTCACCAATTTCTTTTTTTTTTTGGAACTTCCTTGTTTTCTTGTACTACAAGTTGCTGCAGACTAGTCTTGCATATTTCCTACCCAAGTCCCAGAATCAGTCATTTCTTCAAGGAGCCCTGGTTTCTTTCATTGAAGAATGGTATTAGAAACCAAGATCTGGGTGTTAGGTGTGCATGTTGCTACTGGAATGTCTTTGCTCCTAGACCCTCTTAGCTGACATAGCAAGGAAATACATAAATGTGTATATACATATATCTATAAATATTTCTGTATGTAATCATCTGTATCTCCAGTAACTGAAAAATCCTCTCCTTGCTTATCTGTAGCTTCCCATTCTAACAGGAAGAAACTTAGATTCTATCATCTGTAACACATTTATTTAATTGTTCCATTCTGGTATACATGTACAGTGGTTTTAGAATCATTAACTCATACCTCTGAGGGACACAAATTTATCAACTAGGATATTGTGGTTATAAACAGTCTCTTTTGCCTTTTTTCTTACAGACTCCACTCATTTCCAAACTTACCCTGGTCAGTATCTTTTCCCCACTAACTTCAGTGACATTGTTTCATAAATTTACAAGTTATTTCAAAAGATTCCTTATCCAAATGAAGAAGTTTCCCTGTATTCCTCTACTGGTGAGAAGTTTTTATCACGAATAGGTATTGGATTTTGTCAAATGCTTTTTCTGTATCAACTGATAGGACATTATTTTTCTTCATCAGTGGGTTGTTGTAATAAATTTCAATGATTGATTTTCAAATATTGAACCAACCTTGCATTCTTTATTGTGATGTATAATTCTTTTTATACATTGTCAGATTTTATTTGAAGGTTATTCTCACTAGGTATAGAATTCTGGGTTGACATTTCTTTCAGCACCTTAAAGACGTAGTTCTATTTCCTTTTGCTTGTAGACTTTCTTAAATATGGTTATAAGTATTGTCCCTATTCTGCAGTAATTAATGTGTCTCTGCCTTCCCCCACCTTTCAGGCTGCCTTCAGGATTTCTTTATTGTTTTCAAGAAGATGAGCCCTTAGCTAACATCTGCTGCCAATCTTCTTCTTTTTCTGAGGAAGACTGGCCCTGAGCTAACATCCATGCCCATCTTCTTCCACTTTATATATGGGATGTCTATCATAGCATGTCTTAATGCACTGTGCCATGTCCACACCCGGGATCCAAGCCAGCAAACCCAGAGACCAAAGTGGAATGTGTGCATTTAAATGCTGCGCCACCAGGCCGGCCCCCAGGACTTTCTTTTCGTCTTTACTTTTCAGTAGTTTGAATAAGACAGGCTTCAGAATGGTGTTTCTGCTATTTATTCTTCTTGGTGTTCTTTAAATCTTCTTGAAATTGTGCTTTAGTGTATGCCATTGCTTTAAAAAAATTCTGGTCATTATTTCCTCAATTTTGTTGATTGGTCTCTCTTCTC